GAATTTGGTCGCACCCCGAAGCAAATTTTCCCATAAGATTCAATGTAATTACCGTTAATCCATTCTGGCGTCCGCGGACCATGCGTCAGGGGTGGAAAAGCGCCTGTGCACCACGTGGTGGGGCGGCAAAACACCCGCGCGCTGCGCAGCGGGGCGGCAAAACGTCCGCACGCCACGCGTCAGGGGCAAAAAAGCGCCCACGTGCCTCGCGGCGAAACCCCCGCGCGCTGGCGTCAGGGGCGGAAAAGTGCCCGCGTGCCGTGTGGCGAGGCGGCAAAACGCCCGCGCACCGGCGTCAGGGGCGGAAAAGCGCCCGCACGTTGTGTGTCACGGGCGCGGCGGGGTGGAAAAACGCCTGCGGACCACGTGTCAGGACGGAAAAATGGCCGCGGACCATGTGTCAGGACGGAAAAATGGCCGTACCTCGAGGCGGAGTTCGCACATCGAGGTAAATTTTTGAGGCTGGAGCTGGTCGTATCTCGAAAATTTCATAAGTAGGGGCGTTCGTAAGTAGAGGTACCACTGTATAACTTGGGGCTCCAAAACTTCCTCTACGCCCCCAGAATCTTGGCCTCCAGGACCTCAAAGCTTGCCTTGAAATTGCTCCTATCCACTGCTTCATTATGACACTAAAAATCCAGCCCAGCCCACAGCACCACACTCAAGAACATAACCTTTATTGCCCAACCAGAAAAAACCCTGTGCTCCCCTGACTATAAGTCCTCATATGCCAGCTGGAGACTGAACAGGAAGCTCTAAGCAGGTGTTGGAGGCTAAACGAAACAGAAACCCAACGGGAAATGCTTACCCTGCTCACTCCAAAGCTTTCACAATTGCTTCGTTGGCTTCCACACTGATCTGCGCTTCTGCCTTTGCTGCCTCGTCGGTGGCCGATGCAAGCTCTGACAAGGCCTTGTCTAAGTTTGACTTGGCTGCCTGTGAACAGGAAAAAGTATCGGGATTTGAAGCAACATCAGTAGCTGCAGGGCCTTGTAGGAAAACAGAAAGAGATGTGGTCCAAAAGGCACCTGCTATAGTGCAACCACTCTAGGGCAGTGTTTCTCAACCTCAAGAATTTTTAAGATGTGTGGACTTCAACTCCCAGAATTCCCCAGCCAGTGTGCTGGGAATTGAAGTCCATGCACCTTAAAGTTGCTGAGGCTGAGAAGCACTGCTCTAGGGAGAACAAGGGCAAATGGGTCAGTTTAACCGTCTTTGCTCAAGCAGGGGGTCCCAGCCCAGCAGCCTTCTCAGAAAGCAATGAGTTGCTGTTGGGTTTACATACAACTCCGATTTTGCTTCTCTGGCCTTCTTTCTTAATAGAAGAGTCTGCGCACTTCACAAGCAGATTGCACAGCCCTGCTTTTCCCCTAACCTACAACCAGTGCTGTTTTCAGGTTGCCTGATTGGCAAGGATTACGTCGAGGTTCTTGAAGGGATGTCAGATATGGCAAGAGGCAACACAGGAGGTTCACTGATAGAAAACCTACTTTGCATGCAAAAGGTACTGGGTCTGATCCTCAGAAGTGAAAATCTTGGAGACCCATTGCCAGACATTGTCGATTTTATTCTCTCCAATAGCTCTTAGCAACCACTTGATTCCTCTTTAGCTTTCTTTCACACATTGTGGATATAGGTCATATCTACTGCAACTCTAATTGTATCTGCATTTTTTTGGCCCAAAAAACTTTCAAATAACAAACAAAACCTTTGTTGGAAGGAAAGTGCAATTTGCTTGTGATGCTTACTAAGGATACATTTTTTTGAATTAATGAGTAGGGTGTCTCTTTCATGTCCTCCATGGGGACCTTTATACGCTAGAGCAGTGTTCCTCAATCTCAGCAACTTCAAGTGTGGACTTCAACTCCCAGAATTCTGGGAGTTGAAGTCCACACTCTTGAAGTTGCTGAGGTTGAGGAACACTGCCCTAGAGAGAAGTACTTCTTTAACATAACCATCTTTTACTTTAAATACTGACTGAAATGGTAACTTAGCTGCAGCAGATTTTTTTTTTTTTAAAGAAGAAACAGAGCTGCAGTGCTGCTGAATCAGCATCGTGCACAGAGAAATCCCTCCTATTTTGGCAGCCAAGCGGGGACGTGTGCAGGGGGAGGTTGGGGGAACAAGTGAAAAGAAAAGAGGGTCAGACAGACAAATACTAACCACAACATCGAGCTGATCCAATAAAGCCACTTCTTCAGCTAACAACTGGACAGAGGAATCTGCATGCACGGTGACAGAACCACTGCTCACTACACAATTGCAAAATAATGGCATAATCAGTCAGTGACAAGCCCCAAAGTGATTAGAATTCCCTTCCTACAGAAATGTGCTTATTTAATTCCTTTTCTAGACAACTAGTGATGTTCTCTGGGTGACGCCTGGCTAATGAAATACATACAGTAGAAAACCACAATAAATGATTGCTAAGAGTACCAGCAAGAGGTTAAAAAAGGCAGAATGTAACAAAGCCAGAATGAAACCAACAGCCAAATAGTGCAACCAGAAACCCTCTAAGTAATTAAAATACCCAGAAGAAAGGGAAGATCTTTACTGGATGCTTAAAGTATGCCCCCAAGTTTTCCCTACATCCTTCTATATCCAGCTTCATTGCGTTTCCTCCTCCTCTCTGCAAAAATGCATTGGCAGTTACCAAAAAGGTGCATTCCCCAAAAGAAAAAGGCTTTGCTTTTTGCCTAGAAACAATGGCCCCTCCCCCAAAAAAGTCTTCATTCCAGTATTTCAATCCAGTCTCTCCAGATGGAGGACAATGAAGAATCCTGGGAGTTGTAGAGAGTGTCTGAAGAGTGTTAACCAGGGAACTGAATTAACCTAAACATAACTGGAGTGGATTTGGGAGTAAAGGGCTTCCCCTCTTAACCGAGGCAGACAAAGCAACTTCTGCTGCCAAGCCTTGTACCTCACATGCCTATCTCACCTCCATTTCTCCAGATGAGTGGGTGAAGGGGAGTAAGCCTGGCCATTTTTAATTCTGTGCATATACACCCTTTTTTGTTTCTCTCCACCTTGGCAGGGTCTGTTATCCTTTCCAGCGCTCTACATAACAGTGCAAGAAGTGCTGCTCTTCCTTTGGCTTCTACAACAAACCACATTAGTGGATGGGAACAAACTGTCCTTGGGCAGTTTCTGGACAAGCCTTTCATTGTGCAACTGCTCTGCCTCAGTCATATCATTTTACAAGGGCTTCAGACACAACCATTCTCCAAGTATGTAACCTTCCTATCCTCATCCATGAATTTGCCAATCCATGTAATAAAAAAGCTGCTAGGAATATTGATCAAAAAAGAAAAAAAACCCCTCAAACATTACAGTTTTCCCACCTCTGGAATCCTAAGACCCCTTCTTAAGATCTTATCTTAAGACTCCAGTTTCAATCATTCCAATACAGGAAAGCTCCAGACTAAGAGAGGCTAAATTGGTGTTTGCCTTTTTCCACTATAGGTAGTCCTCATTTAGTGACTGCAACTGGTTCTGGGGAAGTGGTCATTAAGCAAACCATATGACTGAGAAAGATCAGTTGCTGCCCTCTCAGATAAAGTTTTCTCCTACAGTGTCCTGTGCCTGACCCATTCCATTTTTTGCCCCCCTCCCAGGGCAGAGACATTGCTTAAACAAGCTCTTACTTTCTGAGCTGCTTTTCTCCACAGCACAGCCCTTCCCTAAAAAGAGCTAACCACAAGTTAACAAGCTCAGCTGTGACCTTAATTAGTTGATTAGAACTCTGCTGCCTCAAACTGACCTTAATCAGTTTCACACTGAACGCTTTTGTTCTCCTAAGTGCCAGCACTGGTCACAAGTTATTTTTTCATTACCCTCCTAATTGTGAATGTTTGCTATCCAAGGCAGTCCTTAAACAAGGACTACCTGTATTGTTCTCCACAGCTGATATTTAAGAAATGCTGCTTATAACTTAAAAGGTAGGAAACAGCCATTGGGAGTACTAGTCATGGACAGTCTAGCCCTCCATGAAGTTTCCAGCCCTTCTAAAACTGTCCAAATTTATCAGTCCGCAAGAACCATCCAGTTTGTACTTGAGAGTTTCCTGAATGCTCCTGGTTGCCCATTCTGGGACCACAACAGCTGGGGTCTCTTAGCCTAGTTTAGCAGGGAGTCTGTGGTGAACTTGTAGGAACAAAAAGACTGTGTTTCCTGTCATTCAAAACAGAACTTTATAAAATGTACTGCTTCAAGTCAGGTCCTGTGCTGAGAAGCAAGAGCAAAAAAACAGAGCCTGCCTTATGTAAGGGGGAAATAAATTTTATAGCGATTAATCTTTTTAAGTTAGTTGCTGGTCAATATTTGGGAGAAAGAGGACTAACTGGGGGGAGATTTCTCTTTAGCTATGAACAATATATTTGCAAAATAAGAAGGGAATGTTTAAGTCAAGAGAAATACACTGTGCTTGTGCTCAGAAACACATCAAGTTACTCTAGCTAATTAACAAAAATTACTGTTGGTTTCCAAGCCAGTTTGCAGATCCTCATTCAGGGGAAAACTGGAGTGCAGATCTTTTCTGAAAGGTAAAGATCATTTCCTGTTCTTCCACCAGTCACAATTCCCAAACCCACCAAAGTATTTTTGGGAGGAGCCATCCTCATCAAAGACTGTCACAACACCAGGCCTCAGGACTTGCAGGGTAGGAACATGGGCAGCCAAGATGCCAAAGGAGCCACTTAAGGTGGGAACATCCACTTGTTTCACAATGGCAGCATTGTAGAAAACCTGTAAGAAAAAAAAATAGGAAAGAAAATAAAGAAGTATTTCCAATGAACCTGAACAGGAGAGGAGGCACTGCAGCAGGATTTTTTTTTTAAAGAAAACAAGCGAAAAGAGAGAGAAGCTGATTATAAATTGTTCTCTGTGATTCATATATACTGCTCAGGGTTGTTGACAGTTGGTGGTATATAAATTTAAATAAATTTACTTGGGTGCAGAACCCACAGCCTCCAAAAATTTGGAACTATAAACGTTCTTCAGCTCCAACCCAGTAAGCCCAATACTGATTATAAGGCTTGTAATGCAAACTAAACAAAGAGCATCAGATGTGAAAGGTTGCAATCAAATGCATAAAACAATATCCTAATTCAGGGTTCCTCAACCTTGGCAACGTGAAGATATTTGGACTTCAACTCCTGGAATTCCCCAGCCAGCCATGCTGAGGAGGAAGGTTGAGGAATCCTGTCCTAATTCATGGTGTGTGAGACAAAACACTGTATTCATTTGGCATGATAAAAGAGGCAAGTGCACTGTATTGTCTAATTTTCCTTTTAAGCATGCACCCTCAATTCAGTTGTCTTCCTTACCATACCCAGTGACCCCAATGGCTTAAGAACTGGCAGGATGGGCATGCTCAAGGTCCCATCTATTAGGGGGACCCAGGAGTCAGGCCTTCTCCCTCACTGTGCCCGCCCTGTGGAACTGCATTTTCTTGGAGATCCAGATGGCTGTTCGCAAGGCTTTAAAAATCTGGATGTTCCCACAGGCATCTGGACTGGGAGGTTAAATGAGACCTGTTGTATTAGCATTTTGGTATTATTTTAGTGTCTGAAGTTGTATAGTTCTTTGACCTCAGACACGTGAGATAGCAAGGTTTCTCAACATTGATTTCATAATTTAGGTTATGGTTTTTTGGATTTAACTTTTGTATGCCATCTAGGGCCACCTTGGTTAGATAAACTGCCTAAATCAATGAAGTTCCAAAGGCATGCAAAAAGCACATCCTGTGATAATTCAATTAAAACCTTGCAAACTATATGCAAAACTAGCACAGTGACCACTAGCAGACACTAGAGATCAAATAAAATTGCCTTGAAGGGCTGTATCCAAACCATACAGGTATTAGGAATGGAAACCCTTATTTTAAAGATCACCTTCATCTTTAAAAATCAGCAGACTGAGAACTTGCATGTCACTGACTGACCCAGCCAATTGTTTTATTTTACTTATCACATGGACATCTCTGTCTAGCTCAGTCAATCTTGCAGATTAACTACCGGGGGAAGCTTATTTATTTATTTGGTAAATAGCTGTCCATCTCACCTATCTCACTATGGGTGGCATACAAAGTTAAAAACAAAAAAAAATACAGCAAAATAACCAAAACCATAAGAGCAAAAGTAATTAAAAGCAACAAAAAACATTAAAAACCATAAAAACCAAATCTTTATTATTATTAATGTATTATTTATTTATTTGGTAAATTTACATAGCTGCCTATCTCACATATGTGACTCTGGGCAGCGATCAAACTTGAAAAAGGACAGTATAGGTAGTCCTCACTTACTGACCGCAACTGGGACTGGCAACTCTGTTGCCAAGCAGTATGGTCATTAAGTGAAACATCACATGAGCGTGTCAGACTTAGATGGCAGTTCCACTGAGGTCATTAAGTGGATCACCATGGGTTGTTAACTGTATCATGTGACCGTGATTTGTGACTTCCTGCCGGCTTCCCCATTGATTTTGCTTGTTGGAAGCCGATAGGGAAGGTCGTAAATGATGATCACGTGACTGCAGGACATAAATGCACACTGGTTGCCAAGCGCCTGAATCATGATCATATGATTGCTGAGACACTGTGATGGCTGCAAGTCCCCTTTTCCAGCACCATCCTAACTTTGAATGGTCGCTGAATAAGTGGTCATTAAGTGAGGACTACCTGTACAACAAACAATAAAAAAACATAACAAAAGCAGTAAAACCATAAACGTTGTTGTCGTCTTTATTTAAATTTATATGCCACCCGACTCTCAACAGCTCTGAATAGCTCAATCAGCTGAAAAAGGTTGCAAACCCACCTATGATGGTGGTTCTGCCAAACCCTCACCCCCAGTTAGCTCTTTGAATCCCCATTCCTTCCCTGCCTACATACGTGCTTGTTTCTGATCTGGTGGACTAGAAACGGCCCCTCCCCCTCGGACACGTGTATATAACACGCTAAACCCGGGTTAAGAAAACGCACGAAGTTCACGGAACAAGGGATGCCCAAACCCATAAAGCACTACGGTTCGTGCAGACCGTTCCGACAATACGCGACCCAGCCCTGCCTGGCGGGTCGGGCAATGCCACACCAAGGCCCGGATCCCCGCCTCGGTTCGGTTGCCATGACAATACCTGAGAGGGCGAGGCGAAGGTGAAGGCCAACTGTGCAGGCCCGGCAGCAGCAGCAGCTTCGGCATAATGCCGGGACGGCGATCGGGACCCCAACACCAAAGCGCGGGCAAGAAAGCGGCCGACCGGGAACATGGCGAAGCCAAGGGCAGAGCGGAGGAGAAGCAGAGAGGTCGACCGGCAGCCAGGCCTCGCCTACAAGTCCCAGCAGACTCCGCGAGACAAAGAGGTTCTGTCGCAAGGCGCGACGGGAAGCAGGATGCCGCAGAGCGCACTCTCCTTCGTGAACATGAACGGAGATTTTCCCAGGTGGCATCGCGGCATAAACTCCACCCACTCCAAGGAAAGCTTTGCGCCTCAATGCCGAACTGCATTTCCCAGCAACCTTCATACCGCCAACAGCGTAATACGTCCCCTGACAGGCCCTTCCCTCTTTCCCGTGGTGCATTGGGAAACTGACCAATAAGGATTGAGCGCCTCCCACGCAGCGGTGCTGCATGGGAACTGTAGTCCCGATTTTTAGGGGCGATCCGATGTTTACTTCATCTCTTTTATTTAGCCCAGGGCGGACCGTTCTTTCTTTCCTTATTTCAGGTTTAAGATATTCCGTTTAAAAAAAAAGATGAAAGTGACTCATACGCGGCATTAGGGTTCCGCTTTCGACTACCTCCATCCACCGCTCCGAGAACAAGGGAACGGCGGGTACAGGTCCGGAAATGCTACTTCCCAATTACGGTAAAGAGCCGGAAGTTGGTCCAACACTTCACCGCGCCCCCCGCCGCCGCTTCCGGTCCGGGCCGTTTTTCCTCAGAATCGGCGTTTTCCGCTCCGAATGGCGGCGACTTGCGTCGTTTGGACGCTGGCGCTTTGGGTCGTAGTAGTCGTAGCGATGACGACGCAGTCGAATAAGACGGAGTCTGTCGAGGCCGCGTCTCCTTCTCCTTCGCTGCCGCCGAAAGAGAAAAGCCACGAGGGTGCGTCCGGGCCCGCCTCCACCGCCACCACCACGACGACATCCGGGTCCCCGCCGTCGGGGCTGTCGGGATTGGGCCTGTCGGCCCTTCACCGCGCGCTCTACGTCGTCGCCGGCCTCGCAGGCATCGGCCTCCTCTACTACCTCGGGGGCCGCACGTTTCGGTGAGGAAGGCCGGCTTCCTTCCGGGCGGGGTGGGCCTAGATGACCCTCAGGTGTCCCATCCAAGACAGCCGCCTTTTATAGGTTAAGGAGAACGACCTGTCCCAGGCGGGTTTTGAACTTCACCTTCCACCCAGCCCGTCGGTTGGCATGCTAGCTGGGGATGATAGAGGCAGTAGTCTTAGCATATTTGAAGGGCACCAGGCTGGAGGAGGCCTGACCTCTATTATTCAGTTCCTGATAAAGGAACTATTAGCAGTCAAGGATCCTATCTTTGTTGTAAAGCACTGATTCTGTATGATAATTATGTCACTATTAACAGGAAGCATTAGACTGACTGATACTAAATAGCGGCAGTTCTCTGAAAGAAACCATGAGGTACTCTTTGATATGACTGCATGTGGAGCCAACTCTATATATTTATCTATTTGCTTTTACTTAGAAAACTTTGATTAGTCTAATAAATATATTTACTTATATATTATCATATACTATATGATAATATAATATAAAGACAGGAGCCCAATCAGTCTTTGCTAAGTTGCCTGAGACCATCTTCCCTCTGAAGATACCAGTCACAGTTGCTGGCAAAACATCAGGAAATCTGTTGTCTAGACCACGGAGACCTCGGTCCCTAAACCCTGAAGCCCAACAATGTCTGTTAGTCTAATAAATTTGATTAACTTTGCCTTTGAAGGGGGAATCCTCCTAAACTGGCAGATGTAATAAAGCAATGGTACCAAAGGTCTCTGTATTTGGATATCTTCTGTCACTAACTCTGGATGGGGTTCCACTCTCCTAGACCAAATTGGTCTGCAATCTGGAGGTGCTCCTAGTCTCATGGCTCCGGCTCAAGGAGCAGGTGGCAGCCGTGGTCAGGAGGCTTTTTGTACATCTTGTGCACTAGCTGTGCCTGCTCTTGGACTGAGAGGCTGTACTCATGATTACGCGTGCCTCAGTCACTTCCTGGTTGGAGTATTGTAACATGCTCTATGTGGGGCTGCCCTTGAAAAGCATTTGGAAGCTGCAGCTGGTCCCGAATGTGGCAGTGTGGGCAGTTTTGGGTGTACTACAGTGCATCCATGTACCATCACTATACTGAAGCTTCCAGTACATTTCCAGGTGCAATTAACTGTGCCAGTTATCAGTTCTTATGGTATGGGGCCAAGATACTTGAGAGACCAACGGTCTCTCATCTGTCTCACCGGATATGGCAAAATGGGCATGCTCCAGGACATTCTGTAAAGTAGTGTCATCTTATGGAACCTAGATGGTCTGCCTTCTTTGTCACAGCACTTGCCCTGTAGAACAGTTTCCCCCGAGGTTGAGATAGCTCTGATCCTGTTGGCCTCTGTGGTTTGAAGATTTGATTATTTTTACATTTTTTCTGCAGTTTTTATATATATGTTTCTGTTTTATGAAGTAAATGGATTTGTGAAGTAAATGAGTAAATTTTGCAACTGATGACAGACTTATTTCATAGGACAAGGAAACCTCCACGAAAAAAATACGGACTTCTGTCCAACTCAGAAGATCCCATGGAGATGGCTTCTCTAGAGAGTGATGAAGATACGGTATTTGAAACAAGGAATCTGAGACGGTGAGTATCAGTTTCTTTGTGTGTTCTTTAGTTTGTTGCAGAAATACAAATGATTCCTAGTGACATGGCTTCAGGATACAGTGTAATTGGATTGCAAAGAGGTAATTATAGATTCTCTGCATATTGATTACTTTCTGCCTGTTTTGTTCAGGGCTAGGGACTTTATTGCCTTTCTGATGATGCTCCCACCAGCCTTTGCTAGCCTGGATTATAATAGTTAATCTGATAGCTTTAGTACTTGAACAGAATTTAATTTGAATTGGTTTTTGATACATGTTTATGTGGTTTGATTGTAGGAACCCTTTGCTGATCTTTTGCACATTATCCAGCAAGATGTTAATAGATTTTGAATCCTCCCCAACTCCTTTGTAGAAAAGACATATTGCTAGCCTTGGAGGACTTCTGTATTAAAACAAGCAAAAGAAAGAAAGATGGGATGGGATGGGGGAAAAAGTTAATTGATAGGCAGGCTAGAATAATTAATAAAGTGGAATTCTGCAAGAGAAAACCAGCTTTCTGAGAACATTTGAAAGATGCAAGTGAGGTGACAGTAACTGCTGAATAAGAGATTTTTCTCAACCTGGGGTTCGTTAGGGATGGTAGGCCATGCAAAGAAACAGATACTGCAGGGATTTCAAGAATGCTACTTTATTGTTGTAGGAAATATTAACAGAATCTGGAAATCCTGTCCCAAATCTTTAATGGCCTCTTTTTAACAATCAAGAGCCATGAGTAAAGGCAGGGCTGCTCTGAGTCTCTTTCTCACACATTCTGCTTTCCCAGGGCTGAGCAACTGTTTCTCCTCTCCTGCCCCTTTCTCAAGGCCAGAGCTAAATTATTCTATGTTGAAAAACCCTATTAATTCTCAGAGTAATCCGAAACTAAAAATTCTGCAGTGAGGAGGTAGTAATCCAACTAAAGAGATGTGCACTTATTCAAATTAAGAAGAACTTGATAGGTTTGAATATTATCTGATATTATTAAATATGACTAAAATAATATACACAGTTGCAGCTGTAGCCAATTATCTGGCCTCCTGCAGTGAGCTAAAATCTCCTTCATGCAAGAAAGCTTTGCAATAAACTGTAGCTTTTAACAAATATGATTAAATATCTATGGTAAATATTGGCGGAAAGATGCCTTTGCTTTTCTGGTTTTGACTAGCCACGTGCTATCATGATGCATAGCTATGGTAACAAAAGGATGTTCTCAATGTATGTAATTTTGTTTACTTTTATTTTTAGAGGTATTTATATGCTGTCTTTTAGGACACAAGTTCTTGTTAGATAGCTTACATAAAAAATTAAAATACAATAAAACCAGACAGCACCTCAACAATTAAGATTGCTCAGTTAAAGCATTGCAACCATAGTGCCTCATGAAGAACACCAAGCCATCTAATGGATTATGATGTTAAGACCGGAAAAATGGAAAACATATTTTACAAAAAAGTTAGCTAAAAGCTGTTTGAACATTGGCAGAATTGGCATCTCAGTGGGAACAAAATTCCACAGAATTCCTGAGTTGAAAAGCGTCCCTTTCGCCACTGAATTAATCTTACAGAGGGACAAAGAGGATCTTTGAGGCAGATCCTGATGTTTAGGTAGGGTCATCTAAGTTGCAATGATCTTTCCAGTAATCTGGTCTTAATTTTTTTTTTGTTTTAAATATTATGTTGAAATGTATAACCTCAAATTTCTGCTTATATAAGCAGTCAAAGTGGCTATTTTGTTTTGAGACACAAATGACAACATGCACATTTTGAAATATAATCTAAAAGCACAAACAAGTACACTCTACCCATTGAAACTGAATTGTAAAGTTATACAGATTGTTGTCATGTATACCCACATTCAGTTGTCATGTATACCCACATTCATACCCCAACCCACATTCAGTTGGGCTCATTTTGTCCAGCTGAACTTTTTAGATGGTTTTAAAAGGCAGCCTGTTATTGAATTGAGTCCAGCAGTTGAGTCTAATACTATTGTTTTTTGTTTTCTAGGTGATAATAGGACTTGTGGTTTTTCTGACTTGACCAGAGAAGAAGCAGATTCACCATTGGAAGAAACTTGGACCCCTGTTACTTTAAAAAAAAAAAATTCCTGAAGCTCCTCGCAATGTGAAAACCTAGCAGTGTGAAACTTTCTCTTCAGGCAGTTGAAGAGGAGAATTGTCATATCCTCTTGCCTCACAACCACTATGATAAATGTGTCTGCCTGGAGAACGAATTGCAGAGAAAATGAGGGTCTCCCAGGGTGGGTCTTTATATATTCCTAACAAATATGGAAATGACAGCAAAGCTTGAAGCTGGTACCAGCTGCTGTCGCTTCAAATGGGATTTTTCTTTTAAAGAAAGTTGGACCTTCTTAAAGTTGGAAAGTGCAAGGATGCACTTTGCCGTTGGCACTGCCCTTAGGAAAAGCTTGTGGGTTCAGGTAAGGTGTGGCACGTTAGAGGAGACTGGATCAAGGTCAGGTCATTCACCAGCTGCTGTGTTAGGAAACTGCAGGTAGTCCACCTCGTTTGGCCTCTACCTGGATTTCCTGTTCTGCTTTCCTTTTGTTGTGTCATTGAGAAAAAGTTGCTGTCTGCTTTTGAATTTGGTTGTATATGAAGCAATATCATTCCAAGAAGAACTGCTGGAGCAAAACACATGCAAGCGGTTAGTTGCTCTGGTGACTAAGGACATGGTGCTGGCGCCTGGTAGTTTTTGAAAAGAAATTTGTTTCCCTTTTTGGTTGATTACATTCAGTGACCCTGTTTAGGGCCCAACCTGTTTTATCTTTGCAGCCATCTTTGATGTTGTCCATCCTTTCTTCTCCCAGGGAGAAGTAACACCATGCCACAATAGATTGCTTAACAATTGGAAAAATGTGTTTACAAATGAAGGATAGCAGTAGATGCCCCATTAGCATCTTAAAATGTAATGAGATTGCAGCTGTATCTTAGGGGGTGCAGGCTGGACCAGTAGTTGCAAACAAAAACAAGTAAAACTTGGCCCTTTCATCTATTTTTGGTGGATAAACAGGAAAGATATTTTTCTCCAAATAAATTAATCCAGGTCAGTTTGAACATTTAATCCATTGTAGTTCTTTCCTCTTTCATGGCGATCATATACTATGGCAAGCCAGTTTTAAAGTAATATTCCAGTTATATACAGAAGATTGTTTTGGATAGGACAGTACTTGGAGGAATAAGAACCGGATGGGTCTTTGTTCAGCACAATAAGTGAATAATAATACAAATCAGCTATTATATCTGACCAGTACCAGAGGCATTGTGTCCGTTTCTTGGGACCCAAGAAATCAGCAATATTTGAATTACTGAACTGTGAGATGATCAGTTCACGCTTGGTACTTTGAATGTTTACTGGGACCAGCTGCTGTTAGGTTGGGAGCTTTTTTTTTAAATGATCTTAAGATGGTAAGCTTGTATTAAAACAATGCAATAAAATGTTTTCAGTTTTAAAAATAAAGCAGGTTAAGTGAGCAAATCTATGCTTAACTGTGATGCAGTCCAGGATTTTTTGTTTGTTCCAGAGAAAAGAACCCAAGAAAACTTCAGTTAATGAATAATAAACATTTCTCTCCTGCTCACTTTGTCTTCTTAAAACCTGGGATTAGAAACAGTGTTTTGCCAGTTTGCAGTGAGTGGATCGTGTTTCTTTGTGTCCATGAAAGCGGCCTTCCCCAAATGGGTGAACTCCAGATGTGTTGGGCTGCCATTTCCTCCCCAGCCAGTGTAGCCAAATCCCTTTCCTGGGATGGCCCTAGGCAGTCTGCTTAGCAGGGCGGTACAGTCATCAAAACGAGCGCAGAACAGATCTTTGAGGGAAGCGGGAGAATTTTAAACCCTGGACTCGGTATATTATGATTAGTTTCTTCTAAAAAGCGGGCTGTGAAGTGATTTTGAATTGTTCCTGATGTACCGGGGTTCAAGATGTCTTAACTTTCCTCCCTCCCCAACTCTTTTCCATTGGTCGTGAGGATATTTATGGACCCCAGGTTACAATCAGAGGCTTCATGGGGTAATATTATGATCCCCTTTTTTTTAAAATTTGGTCAACTCTAGGCAGCAAACATATTCAATACTGCTACCTCCTGTTTTCCCGACAACAACAACAACCCTGTGAGGTGGGTTGAACTGAGAGAGGGTGACTGGCTCAGTTACCCAGCCAGCTTTCATGCCAAAGGGAGGCCTAGAATTCACAGTCTCCTGGTTTCTAGGCCAGTTCCTTTACCAAACTGGCTCACTCTCTCTATTCTGTATGCTGAATAGTTTGAATTAGGCTTAGGGTGTTGTGTGCAGGGCTGTGGAGTCGGCACATAAAACCTTCGACTCTGATTCTTTTATTCATGGTACCTCCGACTCTGACTCCTTTAATTATATATCAATATAGGAAATAAACTATAAATATACTAATTATATATTTCCTATAGTGACTGCAAGCATGCAACATACAAGGCATTAAAATTAAAATACATCCTGAAAAAAATAGGTTAAACAAATTATTCTCTATGAAATAGGAAATTTTAACGTATTACATTATTTATATTATATGCAATTTAAATTTTTTAGGAATCAGAGTTGGTACATTTTTACTGACTCTGACTCCAGTAACCCAAGAATTGCTTCCGACTCTGACTCCATGACTCCGACTCCACAGCTCTGGTTGTATGTGGTGTGAAATCAATCTTTGTGGTTTGTTTGGTTTTTGGCATAATGTGTTGGCTAACTGTGGCTTCAAAAAAAAAAAAGATATGGGTTAATTTGACGTGGGTGCCCAGCTAATTGGGAGTTGCCTTTCTAGATCTTAATACCGTAGTGGCCCATCCTCTGCTCCTGCTCTTTGATTAAACTGCCAGTTGTGGGGTTTTAAATACCTGACAATCTCAGCTAAGACCTTAAGTGCTCATTTTTTACACAGAAGTCTGGAGTATTTTTAAAAGTCTTGGCAGTAATTATAGCTTGTTCACCCCTGGATCAATCCATGGTTAATATTAACTGTATTGAATAAGCCAGTGTTGGCCTGATCAATACCATACTAAGCCATAAATCAGATTTCAGCTTAACATAATATGTGACAGGTGGGAAGAGTGTGGTGCGGATGAGAAGTAATGAGTTTGAGCAATATTTTGAGAACTTCTGTCTCACTGATGCCAGGCAGATGCATTATTCCATGTTTATTTCCCTCCCTTTCTAACAAGCCTTCCACTGTGTATTGTTTTGGGTCTTTCTTGCTCTGTGCTTTTTAAGAAAAGCCACTAGAGGGTGTTGACAACCAATGGATTTCCTTTAGAAACCTCCCGAAATGTTGCTGGGTGATAGTATGAAGGTCACAGTGCCCTCACTTAGCTTCTCCGAAGGCTGAGATTTCAACCTTGATCTCGTGGGTGGTAAGATTTCGGTATTGCATCGCTTGGATCTTTTGACTGAATGCTTCTCTGTATTTCAACATCTTTAAAAAGTTACTCCCTCATACTGAGATGTAATATTTCAGGGAAAACGCTACAGTAAATCCTTTTCACTTTTGAAAGTTTAGGCAGATTAACCATGGTTATATTCATGTACCAAGCCATGGTTTGTTTCAATCATGGTTTGTTTAAAAAGCCATTCTCTGAGTTGGCACATCATGCTGCACTCTAAACCATATTTTACCTTTGTGGTAATGTTACATCACGTGGCATAGTTCACAAAGCACAATTGCTGGTTCACACATCAGGTCATAATGTGACTTGTCTGACTGGCCTTAGTATGATGCGGGAACCCAAGCAAAGGTGACTACCGCAGTAAAGCAATGCGTAGCTTAGCATGATGTGTCATTTATAGTACAGGAGAAGGGTGGGATTTTGAACTGGCTGGCTGCAACTGGCCTTGCCCTACAACACTGCAGTCCACGCACTGCTCCCTAGGATTCCAGACCCAGGAATCCAGTTCCCCTTCTTCCCCCCACCCATTAGAGAGCTTCCTGTAGCCCCTACATACGCACAGTCCTTCCTGAAGTATTTTCTGCTTACTCGATGGCACATAATCAATCTCCATCTTTATGTTCTTTTTCTGAAGGTTTTCCATGCTTCTGCAAAGCCTAATTTTGTCCAGATCTTCTGATTACCCCGAGCCAGGCAGCTGAGTCAGTACAGAAGCAGATGGGCCAGGGGGCTGAACTGGCATAGAGCAGTGTCCCGAGTCCCTGTTCAAATTTGGCCCTTGGTTCAAACACATGAGGGCTAGAAGCTTGCTTTCTTTTTAAGGGATGAATAACAGCTCCCATTCCATCCCTGGGCTGGGAAGGGCCTGTCTGAAGCCTTGACGAACGCTGCCCATTCAGCGAGCTTAGCTTCAGAGGCATTGGGCCAAGATTCCCAAGGCTGGCTTGATGGGAATTGTAGTCAAAAGTATCTGGAGGGCATTGAATTGGGGGAGGCTGGTATAGACAAATGGTGCTGCCCCAAAGCGGGAGGAGGCTGCATGGGATGTGGTGGCCAAATACTGAAGGGGTGAGATGCAGTCGGTGAGGTTTAAGGCACCCATTTTGTTCCTTGAATACAGGCGGTCCCCAGTTTAAGAACGAGTTCTATTCCCAAGATCTGTCCTTAAATCGAATTTGTACGTAAGCCGGAATGGTATTATTGTATAATACTGTATAAGTAGTATTGTGTAATGAACCATTATGTATTTAACTCAAATCACTGTGTATTTAACTCGAATTTTGCTACAGTAGGCTCTGTTCTTAACTATGGGTTGTCCTTAAACCAAGCATTCAATAAACTTATAAGGTAGCCCAGGTTTTTGGACCAACATACTCTACAGATGACCAAAAGGTTCCTGGAGCTGTAACTTTTTGCCTTCCTGGCTTACTGTGTTTCACAAACCCAGCCAATTAGGCTTTAATCAAGCTATAGTTCAAACCATGGGTTAATTCGTTGAACTGCGGCTTGAATTCAGTGGTTTGATCTCACTAGGGCAGCCTTCTGCGCCTCTATGGGAAGGGCAAGAGGATAGAACTAGCTAAACCCAAGGTAAATAAAAACTAACTTTCCTAAAAATCAGTGAGTTAAAAAAACCATTGCTGGTTAGTATGGGCCCCTTTTAATTTAGCCATGGTTTACTTCTCTTGGATTCTGCTCTTTTCACCCAAATCACAGGATCGTCATTTTAAAAAACACTCTTCTCTTTCTTTCTCAGAGCTCAAAGCTATTTTCCAAGCTTCAAAAGGTTTTTTTTTTTTTTACTAATTACCCTAATGAGGTCAGGGGAGACCTGGTGTTTCTGTTGCTAAAAAATAAAAAGGAGTTGGCTGATAAAAGGGAAAGGCCCATCTGCCCTTTTTTGACTTTGGTTTGTAAAGAGATGGTGTCTGTCTGGTTTCTTACTTCATCTCCCTCCTTTCTCCCCCCTCCGCATCCCAACCTGGAATCTTTTAATGAAGGGGGGCAGAGGGAAAGATATGCACTCTGTGTGTGTGTGAGAAAGATGTCACCTGTTTTCTCTGTACTGAATTATATTTTTGCTTGCAGAAAAAAACATCAGAAAGTGCTCCAAATGGCCTTAATTAGTGTTGTAACTGGGAAGGAGTTTTATGAGGTTAATGGCCCATACGTGATCAGGTCTCATGGAGCTAAATAGCTTGGAAGAGCCAAGGATGGGTGCTTTCCAGAGAGGTGGGTGGAGGGAGAAGATCAGCGGCCCCTTTGGGTGGGGAGAGAAGTGATGTATCCCCAGGGTTGGAATACTGTGGATTACAGTTGGCTGTATTGTATGAATGTGGTCATCAGTGGTGTATTCCATGCACCATAAATATAAATACACCCTGGTTTATTAAGCACCTCTGTAAGGAGGCTATCTCAGGCCTTGTCAGCAGCTGGTTTAGGGTGCCACAGATCAAGGAGTGGGGGCTGGAGATTCAAGGCACTTCCCGAACTTTCCTTCTGCTGTCAGTCAGAAATGATTATGGGACTGTTCTGCAGCTGTGCTTAATGGGTTTATTTTGGTGCAAAGAAAGCAACTTAGCGTTAATGCTGCATTACCCAGGGGAGTCTGGTGTGTGCGTCTCATGCTCTGTAAGATTCTGTGGATAAGGGAGAGCGATCGCATGAGGAGCCTCTGGTCGGAAAACATCCTTGGTACAAAACATCCTTTGGACGGGCAGACACCAGCCACCTTCTCGGGTCTGGGCACATGGCAGGGGCAGGCGTGGCACAGCCAGACTGAACGCCCTGTGGGACTGGGTGTTGTTAATTCCAGTCATTCCTTCTCCGGTGCTCTCGGTGTATTCCTCCTTGGCGTGATTTGCCCCCTCTTTGTTTGATCTGTAACTACCAAAAGTATTGCCGCAGGCAGTGACATCCACAACTTACCGGTCGCCATAGGAACCTGAGCCTTGCGCTCCCATGCGCCCGGGTCTCGGAGGGCCTAGATCCTCCGGCTGTGGTGTAATGAGCCTATGAAGTGTGAGCTGTGAAAGGCCCAGCTACGCCTCCCCCCATGCCAGTGTGCTCTGCAAAGTCAGCCGAGATGCTCCCCTAAAAGCTAGCTATTTCTCCCCGTCTGTCTCCTTCCCTGCTGCCTTTTTAAAAAATATCTTCCCCCCAAGCAGAAAACCTCAGAGGAAATGGTTATTAAAGTCAAAAAACTTTCAGGCTGAGAGGCTAAACTGCTATTATATTCTCTATAATGCCTCCCCTCTTCTCCTTCTCCCCCCCCCCCCCTTTTCTGGGTCAGAAGACTTGAATAAATGGCTTTGACAACATCCTTTAGTGGGAAAAACAGCCTTCTCTTTTTAAAAAATTGCTGAGGAGAGGGCGCCGATAGCACCGCCAAGGACAGGGGTAACCATGTCCCATAAGCACCTGCCCTGCCCT